CCGAACTCTAGATCTTACATATTCTGGATTTGTAATACTATTGTGATGTGGCTTGTAAAAGTGTTTAGAGGTTTTAAAGAGCAAAGTTTAGCACACAAGTTACATTATTGATAAACATTAAAGTTTTAAGATCCAAGAGGAAATACTATGTATTCTTAGGATTATAATCTTTGCTAGTCTGCATGGTCATAAATTATAAATGCCTCATGAAATATTGATCAATTCCATTAGAATCAGAAGGGCCTTGCGAGTATTGGGCTACAGGTTGATAGCATCACTACATTAGCTTAAAGTGAATATCAGTGTCATTCACAAAGCTCAAATTCAATCTTGATGCACACGTGGCCTGTTATGAGAAAGGCACCAGGAATCAACACTGAGCAGTGCTAAAGCCCTTTCCACTGTGCTTTGAACTAAATATTGCTGTGTTTTTAATAGCTTAACTGTTTACTTAAGCTAATTGCTATTGCTGTTAAACAGCCAAACTGTACAGGTGCCAAATTTCACATGTATGAAGATCAAATGCTTCCTGAGGTATTTTATTGGGAAAGAATAAGTGCAGTTATTTTAGATACTTGCAAGAGATGCATGTATCTTTTAGACCCAAAAAATGTTATGAGGAGTCTGCACTTAAAAAGGATCTCAAATTTATTTAATCTTTCAGTAAAGAGCTGGCTTTATTGAGTTTACCAAATGTGTAATTGTAATTACCCATGCCAAGTCACATACAAGTTAGATTTTTTTTAAATGATTACTTGTGAGGAAATTTTTTTTCAAGAAAACCTATTTAAAAGTTTATTATAACCTGTTAATTTAGGATGTTAAACACCTGCTTCTCTATTGTGAAAGAGTGGCTGCAGTTTTCAGTTGCGTTTAATTCCTTATTTTCTGAAAATTTTTATAGTTGCTTGAAGAATGGTTGCTAATTCTGCAAATGCATAAATGAACAGAATCCCTCTTATCTTCTTTACTTGGTATTTATTGAGTTGTGGGATCTTCAGAATTTTAGAGGTAGCTGAGTTAGATAGACTGGATAAAATCTTGGCATTGAGGAGGTCTGGGATGCATGATTTAAACTGCGTATAAAATAACATCTACTACTTTAGCTACTTCAGCTACAGGTAGGTTATACCACAATTTTAATATCTGTAGCATATTACTGACAAGTTTCCTATAACAAGGTTGTGTTGATGTTTGGTGATGAAATTTACATTTCAAAATGAGACAATAGGCTTGTTTTCTAACTTTTTGTTAATTTATTTTCTGCCAAGTTTTAACAAATAAAAACAAATGCTATAGAATACAAGTTTGGATTAGGTGTTTCATAAATTAAATTAGAATCAATTTCTGTGTGAAGTCAATATAAAATTGGGATATTGTGTTTTACAGTTTGCTTTAAGAGAAGTTTATTGCCAGTTGTAGGGTAGACTGATGGATTGAAAGTATCAGTGATGAGCTGTTACAGAGTCTTGTGAGTCTTGTGCTAAGTCTTGAAGAGATTTTAGAAGCATTTCTTACAGTTGTGTACTTAAAAATGGGACCTTTTTTTGACTCCTGTGTTTTGTACTTTAAATTTTCTCCCAAGGCTGGTGCAGAATTTGCAGCTGTGAGGGATAAGGCTCCAGGCACAGTGGGTGTGAGTAAATGGGTGCTGGAGTTGCTCAGGGCATTCCTGTTGGCAGAATAGCCAAGGGAGCCTGAAGCCTGGCTTGGGAGGAGCCCTGGGACAGCTGCTTATTGAGGGAGACCTTGCTTTGATCAAGTTTTGTGTATATTTAAATTATACAGGTTCCAACCTGATCTTATCTCTGGAAGGTTATTCCTTCCCTTTACTTGCCTTTAGAGCTGAATTTCTTTGGTGCTAGACTAGGTGCTAGGCTTCTTTTCCATGTCCTGCAGGTATGTACAGTTGTAAGGAAATACATGAATAGCCAAGAGCCTATATTTGTTTTAGATTTACATCAGATTTAACATAAAACAGAATTCAAATGCAAATACTTGTAAATCCAAACTCTTTGAAGCTGAAATTCGCTGGTGCACTCAATAATTTAAAACTAGGAAGGTTTGCTAGTATTAACTTACCTTCTTCAATTCATTCACAAATTGTGTTGATTTTAATTCATACACATGTCTAGCATCTCTGGTAATCATTATATGTTATAATTTAGTTTGTTGTAAATAAAAATGTCCCTTACAATGAATTCCACAGGACACATTTCACAAACTCTAAATCTGCTTTTCTGACGTAAGGAAGAGAAAAAAAAATTAATGCCTGTGGTTTTTACTTGCTTTGTTTGAGTAACACTAGTTCTTCCTATTTTTGTTTAATGTGGGAAATGAAGTGTGCCAGTATCCAGTATTTTACTTTTTAATGTTGCCTTTGTTTTAATGTATTTTCATCTGATACATTTGGAAGAGAAGTTTAGAGGGATGCTTATGCAGATGGTGAGAAGGGAGGTTGAGTATCAGGTTGGAATTTGATGTGTTGAGTCGCACACATACCTGCTTAAACTTTGTTAAAACACAAAGAGGTGATAGGAACTAGATTAAAAAAGAAACCCCAAACAACAACAAAAACCATGTGAGAAACTGTCATGTTACTTGCTGTCTGTAATTCTCTCTTCCACTCCTTTCAGTTCCCACAGCATGCCTTGCTGAACAGTCCTGTGCTCAGATGGCGATAACTAAAGTTGATCAGGGGTGGTTGGACAGATCCAGTCCAGTTCTCCAGTAAAACAGTTGTAAAGGACCCTGTCCTTTAAAGTAGTTCTGGATCTCTTATTTTACATCCTGATGGACTAATTTCTTTATAGGGCAGTGTTAAAAGTGAATGGCAGAATCCTCGCTTCTTGTCTTATTTGTGGAGATTGAAGGTGCTGCCTAAAGAGGGAAAAGAAATATTTGTAGGAAAATATAATGAAGATTTTAAATCAGTCGACTTCCTTGTGTCAGGTATCTTCTGGGGTCTGTTTCCTAGAATTCCTTTAACAAATGGTCAGGTATTTGTCTAAAAGAACAACACTGTTTTAATGACTTTCAACTCTATACTAGTTTCAGCTATGAATGGAATTATGAATGGAGTTTGCTTTGCAGCTTTATTGGCATAAAGGCTTCCTTCCTCATTAGGTTGTTGCGTAACAGAGAGGGACACAGACTTGCATCCCCCTTCTGTCCTTGTAGAAAGAAATTTTTTTGGAAGTGAGGAGGGGAGGGCACAATGTTATGCAACACAAAAATTTTACTCAGGGCTCTTCTTAGCAAATTTAATGAAATCCAGAAAGGCCTGAAATTTCATTTGAAATGTATTTAGAGGAAAAGCCAGAACAATTAGCTATAAATGCCTGGGTGGAGTGGTTATTCAATATATTGACTTTTTAATTGCTGGCTGTTATCCAGGTGGAGTTAGCTGTTAAACTTCCTTTGGTTTAATTACTTTAATTGTCGTAAGTGCTTAATTCTGCCCACTACTATGCCTGACTCCCTAGTTATTTTCCACAGTTTCTTTTTTTTTCCAAATGCAAGCTGTAAAGTATTTACTTTACAAAAGGCCAGTAGATTGCTTCTTCTGAAAAGTTTTAAAGTAGCAAACTATAGAAATTGTTTATCTCTTATGAATGGGAAATATTATTTAAATTTGGGAAAGAGTAATTCAGCTTGCTGTTCTTACTTTCAATCTTAGATATGCTTTGGAATTTACTACTCTAAATTAGATTTTTTATGTTTATTTTTTCCACTAATTGGTCAGGTTTAGAGGCACAGAAGATGCCTTTAGATTATTTTGTTTATATAGGTGTGTGTTCGTTTCCCTGAGTATTTTTTGTTGGATCCTTGGCTAAAAGATCCTTTTTAATTAAAGAATGACTTTGTCTTTCTTTCTTTTATAACATCTAAATTAATGCTGAAGGCTGAAATGCTAATGTTTTCTGGTACAAGGTGTGTGCACTTGTGCTTGGGTCTCTTATGTCTGCTGCAGTTGTGAGCTGGAAGGAGGAGTCACACTCTTGCAGTAAGATTGAATTTGTGCAGGTTTGCACAGGTGATGGGAGTTGTTCCTCTCTCCTCTCTGTCAGGTGTCTGACTGAGCTGCTTGTCACCTCTGCAGGCTGGAAAAGGAACTTTGAGTCTCAGGAGCTGCATCTGTCTCTCTCTTATGACATTAAAGTGATCTTACACTTAACTGCTCAGAGTGTGTGATGTGAATCAGTGCCCAGATACACAAGATTTATGTGTCTAGGTAGAACAGCTGGGATGGCAAGGCTTTAAAATTGCCATAGTAAAATACATTATTACTGATTATTACCTAGAAATACTCTTTGTGTAGAGTTCAAAGCAATCTGATGGTCTTTGATAATTTCTTACAAGACTTGAATATGTTGTCTCCTATATTGACTTGTTCTTGTCACCATCTTAAATTCTGAAGTTTCAGGTTGCCCTTCCTGTAAATATCTGACAGTCAATGGGGAAAAGTGCTGTTTCTTGATAGGCATTGGCTTCCCCCTGGGCTATAAGCTGGTTGATTACCAGCCTGACCATATATCTGGTTGCTGTGCACTGTTAAGAGATAAAGCTAAGACCATCTGGCTTTAAAAGTGAGTGGAGTGGAATGGGAATTATAGATGGTTTAAAAAAATAAATTAAGGGTATGGGTTCAACTAGATGTGCATATTTCTTTTGAAGTTATCTTAGTGTAGCTGCCATAGTTCTGCTCTCTCTCATATGGAGGCTGCAGTCTTGATCTGGGCTGGGAGGGAGTGTGGTCTTCCCAGTGCTCGAGTCCTGGGATGAGGCTGGGGCTGTGTGAGGCTCAGCTCTCCCCTCAGTTCAGTTACAGATTAGCTTGATCCTGTCCAGCCAAGAGGGAATGGAGAAGAAAAATTTCTTTGTAAACTCCCCAAGGAAATAACATGCTGGCTTCATGCTTCTCTTGTTGAAGGTTGATTTGATTTTGTTTGATCAATATCTTTTAAATCCTAATGTAGATATATTTTTTTTCTTTTTAGATTGGAGCATATGATCAACAAATATGGGAAAAATCAGTAGAGCAAAGAGAAATAAAGGTAATAATGCAGCTTTTTTTTTTTTGTGGTTCTGTATGCTGAAGTAATCTACATTGTATGTGGTGGTATTTAATACTGATAAAGAAAAACTAGACTTATGGAGTGTAACCAAATGTAACTACTGTACTATGCTCTATTTATTTTACATAATTAATAACTTTGCACCATTTAGTGTGATGTATCTTTCTGTATCTCAGTACTTTTTTTCTTTTAATTTATCTTAAGACAGGGCTTACTTGTGTTAATACCTCTGTCTTTCACTTTTCTTTGTGATGAATTCTAATGTCAGTTATCTGAGCTCTCTTTGCTTTCAGTTAGTTACCTTATACCTGCAGTTTACTTTCCCTCCTTTATGATGCTGTCATTGTTTTGTACAGTTTATTAGACTGGTAAGTACCTCAGGCTTTGTTTCTCTGAACAAGCAGTTTAACAGTGTTCTGTGCATTTTGGTTTAACTAACAGTACCATCAGTGTCTGCCACATTGCTAAATCGCTTTGGAGATAAAGGAATCCCTCCTATAGGTACTAGTTCTATGGATTGTATATGAAATACCCATGGTGTTAATTTAGTCAATATTTTCTTGCAATTAATGTTTTTTTTTTTTCTCCTCCAACACTGCATGGAATTATTGTGCTATTTCTGCATGAGTTTCAAGGTGTTGCTATTAGTTAACATCAGTAAAATGTACATTGCTTCAGTTTCCTCGGGGATGGGTTTTTTCACTCCACAGTACTTAAACAAAACTGTGCTGGGTGCCTTGCTTGCCTTCTGTGGGAACTGTTCCTGACCTGAGCTAGAAAGTTTTTGTACAGAGATACACACATTAAGTTGCACCCCATGGTATTTCAGCAGCACAGCTGAGCCTGGGGCTGCCTGAAGGGTCCTTCCCGTGGCCATGAAAGCCCGTCACAGCTACGAGAGGAGTTCATTAATTAACTGCTGTGTAATAGCATGTTACTCAAATAGTTACTGCAAATACTGCAAAAAAATGCTGACTGCAAACAGCATCTTGTTTGGCTCAGGAGTCCATAACTAAAAACTTACTGGTGGTGCCTGAGTTTGGGTTGACTGAATGAAGTGCAGTTCGGGTAACACCAAGGCACATGCCTAAGATCAGGTATTGCACATTAGTGCTTTAATCTCAAAGCTCTTACAGTGCTTTGACATTATAAATTTAGGAATAATTTTGTAATGATTTATAAATTAATGTCACTAAAAATCTGAAAACTTCATGTATTGTAATAGAAAATTCATTTCTCTTACTACACATTTATAATTTAGTTATAACTGTAATAGGATCTATTAAGATTAATTTTAAAATTTGTGTAAAAGAATTTTTACAGTAATAACAATAATTCTTAAGTATTCTTATTTAAACCTTCTTTTGCTAATGCTTACCTGAAAAGTGTTTGGTGCTGAATAGAAATTATATGAACTATGGAGGGGTCTGAGCATTATAAAACACTGAATATTTTTTTTTAAATAACCCCAGTCTGAAACTGCTGTTTTCCATGTAAGTTAGAGATTTGTGATGTATTAAGAAAGCATAGAAATTTCATCTGAATAAATTGAATGCTTCTACTGTGTGGCAAACAGTTCAGGAGCCAACTCAGTGAAATCCATGGATGCTGAAAGTACTGTTTGACCAATGGAATTTTTAAAGAATGAGTCACCATTCCTTTTCCCCTGAAGGTCACATCAGGTTGTACTCTTGACCTTGTTTTTTCAGAATTCTTTCTTTAAATGAAAACATAATTTGAGCCACAATGGCAAATTTTTCCTAAGTTTGAGCATGTATTTCTAGGAGATTATTTCTTTCAAGAGGCACATCTTTATTTAGACTTTCAAGAGAGATCTTGTGGTCCATAAGCACTAATACATTTGAAAATGACTATACCACTCAGCATTTTCTTTTTAAGCTTCAGTTTTCTTTATGAAATGGAGTGGCTCACTTAGGCAAGATTCACAAGAATCTGTAGCTGATTCTAGAATTTTGATAATTTCCAATTCTAATTATGGGCTTCTTTTCTCATTCCACATAAAATTACTGCAGTTTTAGGACTGCAGTTCTGTAAAAAACTTGCATTATAAGGTCTTTGTAGTGCTTGCATTAAAAATACAACTGGTTGTCTCTATTTGTCATCCTCAGAGCACATTTTGTCCTGTTCATGATTCAGTTGTATATTAATTTTTTTTTTGTTTCAAGTAAACTCATTTTTCTAATAGACACATTAGGTAATGACTACACATCTAGCTTGTTTCAGTTTGATTTTTTTATCTTATCTTTATTTCTACGTGAAAAAGAAATCCAGTTTAATTGAGATGTAAGAAATATTTTGATCTGCATTCAGTTGAACATTTTCCTTGATATTATTCTGACAAAGATTAACACTACCAGATTTCACTGATCTGTTTCTCATTGACAATAATTTTATTTATATGATTTCATTTATACCTAATGTTTCTGTTTTAGTGGTGGTTTTGCACATGGATAAGCCTTAGCAATGGTAGAAATGTACAGTTCACCAATTTAAATCTTTTTGGATGAGAACAGTTAAATGGTTTTCGTAATAATTTCACTGATATCCTAAATATTTTTTTGAAACATTTTATTTTACTCTGTATGACTTGTATGCTGTGATTTCCTTACTGTCTGTTGTGACCAAGAATTTAAGCTAAGGAGAGCAGAATAAACTCACAGCTGTCTCTGAGACTTGAGAGTACAGCATCACATTGTAGCATTAAACTCGAAAGCTTTGCCAGCGGGTTTGGGTCTTCTGTGATGGAAGATGCTGCTTGCTTCTAAAAGAAAAAAATAAGCTTGCTTTTCTTCTTGCTGCATTCCTGTTGTGTGGGATTTTCCCCTTCCTTTAATTGGCTAATCTATATTCAGAACTGAGGAAAAATTCAATACTTTCCTAGAATTTGGATTTCTGAGAGCTTGTTGATTAGTGTCTCCTGCATTGCAATGTGATTTGGTATCTGGGTTTGGAATTAAGGAGTTGCAGTGTAAGCGTTTTGTGAAGTTGAGTTGGACATCTAAGGAGAAAAGAGATTCAAGAATGTAATTTGTTGCAAAAATTCTGAAAAGCTAATAGACATGTATTACTAATTCTTGCAAGTGTGTGCATACATTGTCTGCATAATGCAAAGCCGTGAGTGCTCAGTGCCTGTTTGAAAAATAGCCTGGTGGGTCAGTAATTGGTTGGGTTTTATATAGATTGTAAAGTGTGTAAAAAGCATCCATAGTGCATTTTTATTTGGAATGCTTAATTTATAGTGCTTTAAATCTATGAAGTTGTCATGTTTGTCTGAGTTTTCAGTAGCAGTATAGGTTAAATACAATTACTGACCACATAGATATTTTTGTCTTTTGTAATGTCTGTCATCTGCATGAAATTATTTTGATAGTATTTATCTATTGCAGGGTTTGAGAAACAAACCAAAGAAAACAGGACATGTGAAACCAGACCTCATAGATGTTGATCTTGTAAGAGGTAAATTCTGAGCTGGAAAAAGCTGAATTTGTCAGTATTAAAATAACAGCCATCCTATGTCTGATAACAAAAGTGAATTAGTAGGTTTAAAATAATCCCAAATGAAACAAAACACAGCCAACCCTACATAACTCTTCCCTAAAGCATATGGATAGAAAACATTGTTAAATAATGATATTAAGATTAAATTGAAATGTTAATAATTTAATTTAAATTTTGTTGTATAGATCTGGATTTTGAAAAAAAAAAAGAAAGAAACTTGTGCATTGTCTTGTTTAAAAGTCTCCTACTGCCATGCATTTAGACTTCTTTTAAGTCTTCTGATGGAGGGAATGTTATGTTGAAGTTTCTGGAGGGTAAAAACATATAGGCCTTGATTGTTTCTTGCCTGTTTTAAATAACAACATGGCAACAGAAGGTCAGATGATATGAGACTATTAGAAAAATCTTTATTTAGTCTTAATTTATTCTTATCTGTATGTAATTTCCCTTTTGCCTTGGAAAGGCTACGGAAACATTATTTAGTGTTTTTATCCATAGGCCCAGCAGCCAGCACAATCTCCTGCATCCACTGCAGGAAGCCAGGTAGTGCACGTAGGGCACCCTCACAGCTGGCCTGGGCCTCCAGAGGCCTGCTCGCCCCCCGTGTCCCTGGGACCTCAACCCCTCTGTCCCTGGAGCCTCACCCCCATTGTCCCTGAGGCCTCACCCCCATTGTCCCTGGAGGCTCGCCCCCTCTGTCCCTGGAGCCTCGCCTCCTGATGGGAGCTCCGGCCATGCCAGGCTGGCTGGCTGTGCCGCGCTTGCTGGGGCTGCCGGCACCACGGCCATGCCACGGCCACACAGTTCCCCCCTGCTCTGGCGTTGACGGCCAGTGCTGGCACTGAGCCCCATGTCTCAGCCCTGTGTCAGTGTCCTTGGACACGAGCAGATGGCCCCTGGCCCTGGAGAGCCCAGGGAGTTCAGGCAGAAGTGAGTCCAGTCTGTGCTGAGCAGCCCTGTGGCATGGCCAGACCAGCAGCGCTCTGGGCAGTGGCTGTTTGTGTGACCAGTCCTTTTTACCCCCTTACATCTCAACTTCACAGCACTTGTTCCTCCCTAAATTACCCAAACCCTTTCTTTCCCCCACCCCTGGATTCTTCCCTAAGTGCCCTACAAGTGCTGTGCCATCTGAGCTCCTTTTCCTTGGCATCCTACAGTGAGTCCCATCCCTCAGGCAGCGTCCCTTTTCCTCTGGAAGATGACTTGGAGAGCTGCTCCCAGCAGTGCCTGGCGAGGGTTCACACCTGGTCATGGTGTTCATGCCATGGTTTGGATTCCCACTGCTTTTCTCCCTCTCTCCTGCTCTGGCCTCATGGAGATGAGCCTGAGCTGGGCTGATGGTTCCAGGGATGGGTCTGTGAGGAGAGCCCTGGAAGGACCCTGTGAAGTATTATTTGGGCTGCTTCCTCCCATTTTCTCTTTGATCTGCTCTGTGGTTGTACAGATCGCTGTTCTCACATCACCTAACAGTTTAATTTTTTAAAAGGGGAATTGAGAGAAAGAAACAAAATCAAATAACATTTGAACTTACAAGAAACTAAGAAACAGTGTTAGACCTTTTCAGTGCAGTGATGTACAAGAATAGCATGTAAATGATTGCACGGATGTCTAAGTTGGCATTAAAGTAGTTTCAGAGCTGGCAGTGTTTTACCTGTGTAGCACAGAGCTCACTAGTGCCAGTGCTGCTTGTAAATGAGATGGGGATGGTGTAGCAGCATGCAGAAGTTAGCCTTTCAGTCAATAACTTTGCATAATTTAAGTCATATCCCCATTAAGTAAATTTTACACAGTTTTCTGGCTGGGAAGAAAAAGAAATTGAGAGATATGGGAGAGAAAGGACATTTGAATGAGAGAGATAAAAAATGGTATAGAAGGAGACACAAAGATAAATTATTCTTTGGGTGGCTTCCCTGCTCCTGGGGCTAGTCCTCAGCTGGACAGATTCACTTCAGTGCTTCCCAACCTCATTCAATTTTCCTCAATGACATGACTGGTGCAATTTACAGATGTTGGTATTTTAGATCCCTTTTCTGTGTTGGGAAAGGACTCTGCTGTGCCTGCCACAGGCATGTAGAATTTTCATGAGATTTTCTTATAAAGTTTCTGATACCTCTATGAAACAGAACAATTTTTAATAATTCATGTTAGAATAATTTTGACATGGCAATGTTTTGTTATTCAAACATTCTGAAATTACAGGTATTTGTAGAAGTTCCTGATAATGGCAGTCAAGAGGGCCTCAACAATTTATGGCATATTTGGATTGAGGAGATAATTATTTAAAGGAGCAGTTATTAAACACAATTATTTGAATAAATCTTGCACTTCCACCATTTCACTGTCTTAACTACTCTGCTATTGAACAACTTTGGTTTCTATTAGCCATAATGATGAAATGAATTAAATTTTTTTTCTCTTTTTTTTTTGAAGGATCTGCTTTTGCTAAAGCAAAACCTGAAAGTCCTTGGACATCTTTGACCCGCAAAGGAATCGTGAGAGTTGTTTTCTTTCCATTCTTCTACAGGTGGTGGCTCCAAGTGACATCAAGGGTCATTTTTTTCTGGCTGCTTGTTCTTTACCTTCTCCAAGGTAGAGTTGGTTTACAGCATCAGCTTCAACTGAATGCCTTATTTTAACCATTGGAAGATGCAGTGGGCTGCTTGGTTTACTTCATGCTGCTAAGGTCTATTCCAGAATTTTCATAAAATATTGGAATGACACAGTCCCAAGCATATGTCTCTTGGTTAACATTTCTTTTACATGTATAAAGGTTGTGTAATGAAAAATCTAACACTCTCCTCACAGGCTTTCTTCAGCATTTGACACGTTAGTTTGTCATATCTGAATATAATTCAGGTTTTCAGGACAGCTGTTAACAAACAGGAGTCAGTTCACATCTTTTGGAATATTGAGTTCTAGCAATCTGACTTTGTGAGTCTCTTAAATATATGTGATATATAAGAGGAAAATTAGAAAGGGAAGAATGTAATGGAGTGAGTCAGTATCTATCAGTATGAAAGTCACCAAAAGAATTAAGTGTTTCAGAAGTTTGTACAACAGATATGGAACAGAAGGTTAATGAAAGTTGGGAGCAATATAAGTACCCTGAGAAGCTAAATGACTAATGAATTTTCCACTGAAATCCAATTAACATGCAATATTACTTTTTCAAATTCACCATCTGTCGTCTCAGTTGTGAATCATTGTATCATTTGGAAGTTTTAATTGGAACAATATATGGAGTTAAAAAAAAAAAAGGCAGTGCCTCTTGTGTGGTGATGTTATTAGCAAGTATAAAATTAATCTCACCATGCCAGTGCCCCAAGACCTGCAGTACTGACAAATACTCATGTGGCCTTCTATGAAAATTTTTTCTTATCCCCATTTCTGAGAAAGATTGCTGATTTGTCTGTGCTATGGTAAGAGATCCTATAGTGTTAAGAATTTAAATCTTTTTTATAGTAATATAGGTAGTAAAATACATAAGTTGTGGTTGGTTTGTTACCATGTTCATGGGTGTCTTAATTTGAGAAACACCATTGCAGTAATTTTTTAAGTTCCTATTTGTAAATTAATTTAAAAAAATATATATTCACACTTAATTTGTGGTGCGTTTGTAAGACCCTGCAAGTAGAAAAGCAGTGATTCAGAGTGCAAGTTTTTAGGACATTAATTACAGAGCTTTCTTATAGCTAGCCTTTTTCCTCTCAGATTTCTTAGGGTCTCTTTTACTAAGCTGTGGATGGAATGCATCATTTCCCTAATCCACGTGATCTGTAATGTGACAAAGTATTTCTGTGACTTAAAAAATAGCAGGAAATAATGAATAGTATTCCATATTACACTATAATGCAACTATTTGAAATACTTGATATAAAAACTGTGCAGAATTAGCTGCAGATTTTTTGGTAGTTTTTGAAATAAATTAAAATACTTAAAAATGTAAGTGAAATTAAATGGAGATATTTAGTTATTGGGAACTATTTAAAACAACCCCCCCAAGCACTTAAATAAAAGTTTTGCTTATATTTTGCTCAGAAAGTATGCTCAGTTGTTAATTTTGTACAGGATTGGTAAGGCAGCACCAAAATGTCAAGAATCCATGATGGAAGATTAAAAATAAACCACCTCAAATTCCAGTGGCCATATTTCTGCCCTGAATCTGGATTTTGTATTGAAGTTTGGATTTTCTGTCATGATGACAGATTCTCACTGACATTGTTGTAAAATGGTCTGACTTTATTTCATTTGTATGTGTTCATAATTAAATAATTTAACTAAAGTATTTTCTATAGATTTATGAATTGTATTGCTTGGAATTACTGCTTTAAAATTGATTTGCTTCACCAGGGTACTTGCTAGCATTTATGTAAATCTACAGAAAAAACATTTTCCTTGGCTGTAGATTTAAACTCCAGGTTTTATTTACACTGGTTTCCTTTAGCGTAAAGTGATTAGCACAATGTGTGATAAGAGAACTACAGAGAAGTGTTTTATGCTCAAGGTCATGGAACAGGCCAGTGACTTAAGATAGCAGTAAAACTTTTTTCTTCTGCTTCCTTATCTATCTAGTATATAGTAATACCTCATTTTTAACTTAAAATGTTTTCATATTCTAAGGTGAAAATGAACTGCAAACTTACTTGTTGTGTATTTCTTAAGTATAAAGCAAGAAACTTTAATAGTGATGTAATGGTTGTTTATTGTGGTGGTGAGATATATAAATATATATGTATGCATTTTTAAATTTGGTATTAAAAATATTTCCGAACTTTAAATGCTTTAAAAATAAATGCTTGTAGGACTTTGAAGTGTAAGGTTGCTTTCCCTGAGGCAGCTTTTTGCTCAATGTGATACTATTTTATTTGTGTCTGTTTTACAAAATAAGCCACTGTATTTTAGAAAAGCGCAGGTCAAAATACTGAAATACATAAAGAAATAATTAAAAGTGCTGTAAGAAATCCTGTTCCAAGCAATTCTGCCTAGCTGTTGGTAGGAGCAATTATTGCATAACCTGATCTAGACTAGTATTGTCACGCTCTGCAGAAATCAATTATTGTATTTCCCTCGTATCATACTTAATAAAGATCAGATTGGTAATATTTTTCTAAATCTGTGTGAAACATTGTGGTAGGAATCTGCAATCTGCAGATTTTTGTCTTCTGGAAGATGTTTCTTCTAGACATCTCTGCTTTACTGAATGTTTTTTAAGTAGAGTAGTGAATTTTAAAATTATTTCATGTAGGCCTACTCCTGAAAAACATTTCACATGGGAGTATGTGTTTATCCAAATTGTATGATAGGAGCTAAAATCAGCTCCTTCTTTACATTTTATACCTCATGGAGTTAAGTGTATGTGTGAGGAACTCAGATAAGCTCATTTAGAAAGAGATAACATCTTTTGCTATCTGTACCTATTTTATTGAATTTTAATAAGTTGAATTTCTCATTGATGCATGTGGTCTTTGAGCAACGTTATGCAGCAGAAATGTAGTTCACTTATAGTAATAAAGGATATTGCCATGCAAAACTTTTGTTCTTTAAGTTAGGAAAAAGAGGAGAAATTAGAAATAGTTTTTCCACAATCAAAAATAATTCCATTGTTTTGTATGTTCATCATGTTGCTAATACTGGTTACCTTGCTAAAGATTACTTAATGAAAAACAGATCAAACCTCTTTTAAGTGGAGAACATCACATCCAGGTTATCTTCTGTGTTAGTAGTTCCTTCATGGGATTTATTTTAGGTGTTTGAATGTGGCACACTTTGTATGTGGCTGCATTTTTTTCAGTCAATTTCAGTAGAGAACTGGTGACAGCTGTTGAACTTGTATTTTGTGCTAGAAATAGGTCCAAATTACGGGACTTTCACTTCTCAGCAGTACACAAACAAAACCAAGTTGTCATGGGATGTGTGGATGTTAGGCGCAGAGAATTATTTCCCAGTTCTGTTTCTGAATTGTTTCTTGGAGTTTCTGTGGGTTTTTTTGTTTGTTTGTTTTGTTTTGTTGTTGTTTTTTTTTTTTTTGTCTTGTTAGTTTCTCTCAGCTGAGTTATGCATCACAGCTCTTCAAGGCAGAGCAAGGACAGAGTAAGCAGAGAGGAGAGGGGTTGCCTTTTCCTCCTGCTTCATGCTTGCTGGATGCGTTCAGGTTGACCTGGAGCCTGTAAAGGTGTTGCTGAGTGTTTGGGCTTTGGGTGCAGGAGCCTGGCTGTTGGCTGTATATGAAAAGTGGCTATAGGGTTACTAAACTAACAGTTGGCCATGGAATTGGAAGCTGGCCCTTTTTCCAACCACAAGTGCTAGTTGAAGCCCTGGTCACTTCATAGTTGAAGTAGCTACCCCATAGTTTACATGGTTTGTCTTTTGATCTTTCTTCACTGCTAAAAAAGATGCACAGAAGTATATATAGAACATTTATAGGGTTGTACTTATGCAAGCCTGCCCTTCCATGTGGGCAATTCTGTCCCTTGGCTGGGACATGGAGTTGAAATGCATTCTGCTGTGTAAGGAATTTCTAGTCTCAAGTCTCGTCAAACTCACTGGATTGTGCTTTGTTGTAACACACGATACAGAATTAAATTTATTTGGGCTGCTTTAAGGATGATATTTACTTTTTGGTTTTGTCTCCTACTGATGTTTCACCATATTTGAAGTGGTTTCATGACAGATAAAACTTTCCAAATTATTTCATTCAGCCATTTTTTGAGCAATACCTGTGACATCACAAGTGTGAAAGAAAAGATGGGTACTAAGAAAGTAGTCAGCTGTTTAGACCCTAATTGCTGCTGTTTTTCAGCAAAATAGTAATTTTGTTCTCTCAGAATTACATGACTTGGCTTAAAATGCAGGTAAAGGTCTGCATTTGACTGGTTTGTTTTTGACAAAAGCCATCTGAGTTGGCCATTTCAGACATTAAACTCAACTTCATTTCCCTTCTTTTTCAGTTGCTGCTGTAGTGCTATTCTATACAGCCCAAAGCCCACATAATATACCTCTGACTGAAGTCATTGGGCCAATATGGCTCATGTTGCTGCTTGGGACTGTGCACTGTCAGATTGTTTCAACACGAACTCCTAAGCCACCTCCCAGCACAGGGGGTAAAAGAAGAAGGTATAGTCTGTGTTAAAGTGCTTTAGTTAAAGATTTATATAGCCTGTGTTTAGTATTTTCATTGAGGATTGTTAAACTACTATAGAGAATATGCATGAAAAAAAATGTAGGGGTTTACAGTCTGTGCATTGCTAGAGATGAGAAATTGGTCCTCTGTTTTCATTTGAAACTTCAAAATTGTGCTTAATTGGTGCTCTTTAACTTTTATGCATTGACTAATTTAAGCATAGTTTTATTTGAATTTTAATGCATCAAATCTGACATTTTGTCTCAAAACCAGTTATCTGAAGAGTGGTGGAGTGACAGTGTTTATATTACTTCAAGTTTAGTTTTATAAATCTGGCTAATAATCTGTGGCAATTGTATGTGAAAAGAGATACTCTTGGAAATGTAGGATTTAATTCAAGCACTCCACTGACTGTGGTTTGCTGCAGTGAATTGTCCCATTAAAATTGGAAACACTGCAGCAGTGACTTTTGTAGGTCTAAGCTTCTGATGATGAAATAAAATGTGTGTTGTGTTTAAGTATATAATGAATGTATCATGTTTTTCATTAATGAGTTTATTAAATAGATATGACAAAGCTTTAGCAAAATACTTTGAAATCTTGCTTGTTTTTGCATGCTTAAACTGCTGAACACATTATAGAACTAGCAGATTGCACTTACAAAACTACCTTCCCATTTTAATCTCTTCTGATGAAGGAAATTAAGGAAAGCAGCACATTTGGAAGTACATAGGGAAGGAGATGGCTCTAGTACCACAGATAACACACAGGAGGGAACAGTGCAGAGCTACGGTACAAGCACCTCTTGCAGTATTGGCGCTGTCTTCAGAGATATCTGGCATGCTGCTTTCTTTTTATCAGGGTTTGTATTTATTCAAGGCTACATAAGTGTTAGAGATGCACTATCCCTTTTCTAATTAAGTAAATATTGATGTAATGATTAAACTTCTGTTGATCTAGTTTTTGCTCTTAATAGCAAACTCATCTGAGTATTTGAAAATGTACTAATGTGTTGTTTCTTGACTTTTGCAAATGCTCATGCAATAATGTTGAAAAAATATTGAATTGTCATAGAATAATTTGGGTTGGAAGGGACTTTAAAGATCATCTAGTTCTCCCCCCCTTGCATAGGCAGGGGCAACTTCCACTAGACCAGGTTGTTCACTGTGGCCTTGAACACTCCAGGGGCGGGGCAGCCGCAGCTTCTCTGGCCAACCTGTTCTACTTTCACCACCTCCTCACTTAATAATTTCTAATACTGAAAACTAAACCTGCCATTTTTCCATTTGAAACCATTGCCCCTTGTCCTGTCAGTACCTGCTCCTGTAAAAAGTCCTTCTCCAGCTCTGGAAGATGCTTAATGGTCTCCCTGGAGCCTCTTCTCCAGGATGAACAACCCCAATTCTCTCAGCTGTCTTCACAGGAGAGGTGCTCCAGCCCTCTGATCATCTTCTTGTCCCTCCTCTGAACTTGTTCCCACAGTGCCATGTCCTTCTCATGTTGGGGGCCCCAGAGCTTAGCATGGTGCTCCAAGTGGGATCTCATGAGAGCAGAGTACAGAATTAACTTTTAGTTAAATTATATTTTGTTGTTTTACTACACCATGTAGGCTATCAGGAAAAAAACCAACTTCGTTTCTCAGTTTTAATCCAGTGAGAAAAATTCAACTGTTTAATTTTACTTTATTACATTACCTCCTTGTTACTCCAGGAGAATGCTTATTCAGCTTTGTCACTGTCATGAAATGACACATTTTGTCTTCAGGATTCAAATAAACACTGATTGGGCTGTTAAAAAAAGTTTTTCAAAAACCCATTCTATAGCTCTATGTGCAAGACATGCTATGCGTGCAATATTTTGAGTGCTATGAATCAACATTTTTTAATAAGTGAAAATATACTCAATAAAAAGTATTAAATTGAGAAAAGGGATAATGCGAGTTATTACATAGATGTTTTGTTGTGCATGCTGCATTGTAAATACAGCAACACTAACGTGTCTGTCATACTTGTGATCCGTGCTCTAAACCACTGGTAAAACCTATGTTACCTTCTGGGAGGATCTGCTTGAAACCTTGGACAAGTTTTGGAAATGTTTAAAGGTGTTGTAAGAGGAGAGTTCATTTGACTTTCTCCTGTGTGGGTTAAGCTGTCTGATAAACTGTTGGTCATATGATAGGCACCAGGGCTGTTCTTTGGGTCTGTGGGTATTACTCTCTGGTATGCTTCAAGTGTAATGTTGTAAACTTTTTGATGTTTTGTTTTCCCTTCATTGAAGATACTGTTCTGCAGTAAGAAGAGTGTTGGAAGATTTTTTTCTCCTTGCCTTTCCTGCTGTGGGGCTCAGAGTATTTTCAGTTGAGAAGGGCTATGTGGAACTTATCCTAAAGACTTGTTTAAACCATTTAATGAGAGGTAGTGTGTGTATATATATAGATGTTAAGCCTCCACAATGACTACTTGGTATACCGAGTATCTTCAAAGGAAAAAGAACAGAGTGACTGAGAGTGCTGTAAGCAGCCCTTAGTCCTTTGTTACCACTTCAGTTGCAGAGGCACAGTTTTTTGTATGTCTAGAGCCATACAACCTTGTCTGGATGAAAAATAACCTTTTTTTTTTTTCCCCCAGGGGAACATGCAGTTCAGTTTCTTCATGTAATTTTTTTCATGGTAATACAAACAGTTTTGTCAGCACAATGGGAGTGGGGCTGGGAATGAGGAAGCAAGAGCACAGTGTGCAGTACATTGACTACTTGGTGAGGCTCCTTAAAGAAAATCTTACGAAATCTCAGTGCAAGGAAGCTTCACTGCTACACTTGTCCTGTTTCTTAAGACATACTTGGAAGCTCTTTAGATAATCACATTAAAAGGTCTGATATAGAATGTCTGATTAGTTATTTTCAGCAGTTTTTCACTTACACAAATCTTTGGCATAGTTTCCTGGAATTTTAAGTATAGGTCATAAATACGTGATTTCAAATTAACCTCAGAAATTACATTCTCTGTGTTAGGGCAGCATCCTGTGTACCTACACCATTTGCCTGTGCTCAGATCATTGGTGAACTGGAACTGTGTATTCAATAAATATCCTTTCTATTGGCAGAACTCAGTCTGACTTAAAAACTAGAATTCTAAACTTTATTCCAGCACAGGGACAATTTAGAAAATACTCTTGATAAGTTTTACTTGAAAACAAGGCAGTATCCAAGCAGGTGATTTGTTCAGAATGTAATGCTGATTTGGGAATTTGTTCTGCATGTGTTCTTACTCCAGTGGAAATCACGTAACTTCTCTAAAAGTTTTGCAGTAGTAACAGAGAGGAGAGTTTTTCTGATGAACCCCAATGAAAATACATTGAAAGAATACTTGAGACTGCACATCCACACTGTTCCAGAAGCTTTCTTTTACTTTTCCTTACTATTTTTTCTGGATAATACATGAATAAGACTGAAAGTAATTCTTGATTTAGTTTTTGTTTATATTCAAGCTTTCTAAGGCATTGTATTTATCTCTGGTGTTCTTTGCTTTACTCTAAATAGTTGTAGTTGTAGCCTTAAATTGTAAAAGTTGATTAAGGATGTATGTATATATATGGTAATTCTAGGAAACCATACATTTTTGTCAGCTAGGGATATAGTGTTTGTTACTGTGGGGTTTTTTGTTTTGTTTTTCTTTTAAATATGCACAAAAGCCTAACTTTAAGCCCAAGTGTATGCTTTTCTGGCTCGAGGCTTACACTTAAATTTGGGGAGTCTTACAAAAAGAAAACTGGTTTCTCTGTTAGAAGCAAATAAAGACTTCAGTCAAGCTCCCTGATATTTAGAATGAGCCTTAGTTGATACCAGACCAGTAGCTTTGGTCTTGTGATTTTAGCACTCAAACATTGCTTGAGTAGGGAAATCCCATCTGAAAAAGTTGTGCATGCATGCCCAGTTCAGTTCCTATTCAACTGTTTGAGGCTACTTCTTCTAGCTTTAAAGTTTTGTATAAAATGTATAAAAACTTCTCAAATCAAACTTGGGAAGAGCTATCACATTAATTTGCTCATACAGATTAGTGACTTGTGGAGGAAGTGTTTCTGACTGGAGGTGTGTGTGTGATGAGTACTGCATTTACTTCTGCACTGTTTGAAAGAAAATTTAAAAAAAATGCTGGAGGATTATTTAATGAATTACAGATTAGTTTATCTGGATTCCTCTTTATTGCAGATAATTTAATTTTAGTGCTACTTCCTCTGTACTAACCACTGACCTTACTATTTTGCAATGAGTTGCCACTGAAAGTCCCTTTGCTTTAAAATAATTATGTTCACTTTTTTTCCTAGTTAGGGTGACAAAATTAAATTAAAGATGGGAAAGGAGGATTAAACACCTTAGTAACATTTTCTTTTCTCTGCATCCCTTTTGTCTGCATCCCTTTATTCCATTTTTTCTGCATACCATTATTTTGTGAGCTGAATTGGTCCTATTTGGATTTTTTTCCCTATTTTATCCAGCTGTCCCTAGCCATTTTTTGCTTTCAGGACTCCCCTTCATGTGTGGGATACCTTATCTTGGAAGGAATGTGAGGCGCCTCTCCAAATTCTCCCAATTTGTTTGATGTACATATTAAAGAGGAATTTAATCTTCTGCTGTGTAATCCAAGCCCTCACAGAATGCCTCAGTCCTTAAAGAGAAAGGCAGTGCATATTCCCTCACAGGAGCACCAGATCAATTGAGCAGATTCTTGATAGTTCCTGACCTGTGCCCAGTGTTCTACTTGAAATAAAAATAATACATTTCAGAAGCATTATTTATAGCACTTTCCTCTTGTTTTCTCTCCCCCATTTTCCCACCAAGCATTCTGAGAATCTAAAAAACCAAACTTTTATTTACTTTGACAATAGAGAAGCTTAAGAGAAGACTAAAAGTCCCTGTCAGTAAGGTAGCAAATTGCTGTTCCTCTTCATTCCTTCACCCATTGCACTTTCTAGTTTGGGAGTGTAATCATCCAAGCGTTTGCTTTGAGAGAGGCTTCTTCTTGCAGGAGGTAGTCTTGCTGATACATTTATTGTCTAGGAGAGGGTTTTGATTTTAGAGGATGTCACGGGAGACTATTCAGTGAGGGATTTGTCCTTTAAAAAACAGCTTAATTGGTATGGTTGTAAGAGATACGGAAAAATGTTGCCTGGGGTGTTACTGGATAATGCAGAAAAGAGTAGATCCCCTTCTGTTTAGTAGGGTTGTCAGTAAGCAGAGTATATTCAAAACAACATCAAATATCAATGTGCAGAGTACTAAACAGCATGTTTGTTTGCAGCTTCAGGAAATTGCATGCTTGCTTTGAATTAATAATTATTAAAGCAACTTCTAGCATACCTCTTTTATTTGTTAAGATTGAATAGAGGGATTTCACTTATGAGGCTTGTGGTTCTTCTATTAGTGAAGCTGCTGTGAAGTTTTATTTTTAAAACAGGTTTCCTTTTCTTTCAGTAGCTAATGATATACATTTCTTTCACACACTGACAGTTTATAACAATTTTAGGAGAGGATAATGGGTATGATTTGAGCATTAAATAGTTACAAATATGGCATCAAAATCAAATATTAATATTGTTAGTTTGTGGACATCTTAGTAAAGCTAAAACATTGGTTGATAGGAATAAGCAGGATTTAGACTGGGAAGTAATTAAGAGAATAATTAATTTAATACATGTATTTGTTTTAAATATAGATCTAAGAAAGCAAAAAACTCAATAGATAAATCCACTGAAACTGATAATGGCTACGTGTCCCTTGATGGGAAAAAGCCAGGTAAAGGCAGTGAAGAAGGTGTGCAGGGCCATGAACGTCGGTGTGAAGTGATTAGGCCGGAAGAGACAGGGTGGAGCCCTTCCACAGTGAGAGATGCCCTGAGCAACCACAGTCACCACAAAGTAAGTGTGTTTGTTGCTCTTTGTGATGCCTTTGATGCATTTCTATGTAATTTATTGTTAAAAATATTTTAAAAATGAAATTAGGCTTAGGGTCCTGGAGCCAAAAATTATAGTGAGTTGTCTTACTTCATCATAAGATGATGAACCCCAATGAATGGCCTTTCCTTTTTCGTACAGGAGGAACCTTAATGGTGTTTAAACATTTTTTGGTATTCTTTATTTCAATGCACAAGTTTGTGTGCTGTCCTTATCTGTGGGTATTTCCTGACCAGGTAAATGTTCTGTGCCTTCTCTGAGAGCCTGAGCGTCTATGGTCTGTCTCTGTGATAAAATGGAACAGATTTTGGATTACTGACAATTTGTAATTTTAAGGACATTCTGAGCATTTCTTTGCCTGTGAATTGTTTTCCTTTTTTTTTTTTTTTTGGTTTTTTTTTTTTTTTCTTTGATTTTTTTTTTTTTTTTTTTTTTTTTTTTTTTTTTTTTTTTTTGGTTTGGTTTTGGGTTTTTTTGGGTTTTTTTTTTTGGGTTTTTTTTTTTTGTTTTTAATTGATCTGTGTGAAAGATGAGGAAAGCAGAATTTTGCTCCAAGTGAAATAGGCAGGACTCTCTATAGTGAGTAACAGGAATGACAGGGAATAATAGAATCATTACAGAATTATATGAAGTGATCATGGAAGAAAGTAGATCTTTTAGTTTGTCTGGATCTTATTATCTCCTGGATATCCTCTATTCAAAGTAACACACGTTAGTGACCTCAGTATTCAACATACATCCTCCAAGCCTTCATCCTTGTAAGAGATGGTAAATGTTGACTTTGTACTGAATATGTTGATAATTCAGTGTTATACTGTTACTTTTGACTGGTTGGTTGGTTTGGACTTTTTGGCTTGGTTTGTTCTCTTTTCAGATGTGGATGCAATTTTTCTAAGCCTATCTTTTCATGTTCAGTTTACGAAAAATCATACTTAAAACAAGAGCATCATAATATTTCTTGAAGCTTATGTGAACTAGGCCTTCCTTTGAAAAAATGTTTTGATGTTACAATTTCTATTCCATAATTCCTGTTCTGCCAATTTTGATTCTTGAAAATGCATTAATATCCGGTTTAACTGAGCATAGATACCAAAGTTGTAGAAAGAAATTTGATTTAACTAGTTGAGAACAAGACTTAGTAAATATGACTCTTTGTCTTACTAATACTGTATTTCTTGCACTAGGATACTCACAGGACTGTGACAAATTTATCAGATGAAGTTTCTAGTGAGGAAGGGCCTGAGACTGGCTATTCTTTACGCCGCAATGCAGAACGCACTTCTAGCGACTGTACACTTCGGAACAGGAAATCTCACCATTACAAGAAACACTACCCTCTGGAGGTATGTTCATTTCTGTTGCTTCTTGCCTTTAAATTCTTAAAACAACTTGACTTCTTATTGAGTAAGGTATATAGAGCAAGCAGCTTGCATGTGCTTGGTTGCTGGCAGGAGTTAAGCTATGACATTTCTATAAATGGGTTTTTTTTCCCCTATATTATGTTTTAGGAGTCTGTAAATTGGAAGTCATGCTAGTGAGGAACAGGAATTTTTTTCTTTGTTTTTGTTTAATGACAGTGTTTTTTTGAGCTTCATCCTATTTTTCAGTTTGTTATAAGGAGACTACAATATGTTTGGTAGATTTTGCATCGGGTTATGGTAACTCTGTTGCTGTCCTGTGACACCAGTTATCTCCTCTGGAAATTTGCTTTGTTACAGAAACACTAGTAATTGGGAATATGCAAATTTCCAGTATGGTTCTGCTCCTGTTTTTCTCCATTTAGTATTTTGGATTCACTTGCTTTCTTGTGGAGAAGTCTGATTGACTCTGAATTTTCATTTCCTCTTATTCATTGAAACAATAATATAAAATCTTGTCATGTAAATGAGAATTGTTAATGTATAAAAAATACCAAAATTTTAAGAGACTTGATGGCATTACAGCTTATGATAGGGGATTTCACAGACTTCATGTGAGCAGAATTCTGAATTGTAAGGACTCAGACATTGAAAGAGAATGGGATATCTTAGTGTGGTTTTGTTTATTTATTCATTATTTGAAAAATTACAGTTTTGCTAATGGTATGCAACTTCACAGATATGGAACACTTTTTAAAAGCTGTATTGCTATTTTTTCCTCTAAGGCTGAGCAAAGAAAGCAAAGAGTAAAATCAGCACTGACAAAAGTTCACTGACAGTTGGGCTTGACAGGCACAGCTTTATAAGTAAACTCTCTACCTGATACAGGAAAAGTGTATTGGAAGTGTTCAGATGCTGCTTGCTCTGATCACAACTGCAAGGCCTTGAAGTTGATGCTTTACATAAAAAAACATTATTAAAGAAGCTATTCTTTCACTCATTTCTCACAGACTTTGGCTAGAAGGATCCAGAATGTTAATTAATCTCAGCATTTAGTGCCTTTTGCATGTGTGGTTTGTGATAATGGCTCTGTTTGTTTCATGTTACAGAAGATGTCCCTTCACTGTGTGCTTGTGCAGCCTGAGTGCTTCACAGGAGGAAGCACAAAAGCACCATTACAATTGATTTCTTTTTTTTTTTCAGCTTAGATATACTTTTCTCTAGTGTAGAGTGCTTCAGAGCTGGGGAAGACTTTGTAGATACCTTCAGAAACTAGAGACAAAGTGTAATCCATGTTTAGCTGTGGCAGTACTATTGTACACTTACTCCCAGTTCACTGATCTGACTGATGCAATGAAAGAGGAAGCTTTTCTTTCTTGCTCCCAACTCGCCTCCCCCACACCATTACAAAGAAAATGTAACAATAGTTTTCAAATCAGTGAAAGCTTTCTTTGTATTAAAAAAAAATTAGTGAAGTCAGTGGATATACTCTCAAATTCTGTCCTGCATTTTCTTTATCTTCATGTTTATGTGTCTACTTAATTGTTGTTTGAGCAAGCTATTTTTCATGTTCTTACTTTATTAACTGTTAGCCTTGGTGGTACTCAGTACTGATTGCCTTCTGTAAATATTTTCTTTTTTGCTTTAAAGAAAATATTTCAGACTCTTTCTGCATTGATGTTATCCCTCTCTTTGTAAGAGGTACAGAAAGAGTTCAGACCAAATTTTTCCTGAACATTTACAAAATGGTTTGCATAAAATACATTAAGCATGGTTTTCAGAAAGAATGAAGACCATTTCTTCAGATAGTAATGGAATATGAATCATGGTAAGTTAGTATGTCTGCTGAAACAGTGCTTAACTTTTTTTTCAGTGTAAAAAATTGTGTGTTCTCAAGAGAAATTTGTAGAAATAAACTTGGTGTTAAGAGGGAGTGGAAATTGTCAGAGGATGACAGTGAGTAGGCTGATACTGCTTTTAATACTATACCCCTGTTTTGCTGGAAATGGATTCTATTTATTGTAGAAAGTAGTTTAAACTCTACATTGTTTTTCTGAAGACAGCAGTAGATTGTTTAATTTGTATGCATTGGAAAGTTTGAATGTCCCAGACTTCAGATTTTTCTTTCTTTATGCAAGAGCTAGGTAAAACTGGAGTTCACAAAGGCATACTTGTTTGTCAAGTGCAGTTTGTTTAAAATAATTACATTTTTATGTCTAATTGTGCACATTACATATAAACCTGGCATTAGCTATGTGCACCCTTGCTCTTTTTCCCCCTCTATACCTGATGCATTACTGTGTTCAAGTTCACTCTGTCTTTGAGAAGGTATGTTAGTAGTAACAGTCTGACTTTAGGGGACTTAAAGGGTCAATTCCTCAGAAGCTGGAGATACAGCTGGAGTCTGTGGCTTGATAATTGCTGTTAATTCTAAACTAATGAGCTCAAAAAATCTGTGAAGCAGTTATTTCCTTTTAATAACGAGTATGATTTGATTCTACCTTATGTGACCCCCTCCCCAAAAAGAAAGGGCCATGTTTGCTTGCTTTTTGGTACCGTATCTTAAAATGTGCAACCTAAGGATTTGTATGTTTATTGCAAGTGTTTCTTTCTGATGACAAGGATAATGGATTAGAACCTAAAAATCCAGATAAACAGGGATTCCCTAATCTGAACTTTAGAACATCTCTGCCAGCAAATGATGCAGAGTAAAACAGCAGCATTAATTCCAGTGGATGCTTGGCTTTCAGGATACACCTAAATCAGGTACCAGCTGCAGTTCCCGGTGCTCAAGCTCCAGACAAGACTCAGAGAGTACAAGGCCAGAGTCAGAGACAGAAGATGTGCTGTGGGAGGACCTGCTGCACTGTGCTGAGTGCCACTCGTCCTGTACCAGCGAGACAGACGTGGAAAGCCCCCAGGTGAACCCGTGTGTGAAGAAGGAATTCAGAGATGACCCATTTCATCAGGTTGGTATCCAACAATTCTGGTTTTTTACACTACACACAGGGTCAGTGTTACCTATCATATGTCACAGAAAGCCTGGGAGAAAAACCTTATATTAGATGGAAGTAACAAAGCCAAAGTGATTTGATAGAATTAAAACATGTAAGTCTTGTTTTCTGCTACTCAGTCATTAATTTTTCTAAAGAAGAGTGTATGAAAATATATCAAAATAACCTATAGAATATTTGAGTGTTTGAATCTTAATTCTAATTTAGGGCAAGTACTGATTGATTTAAGTTTCCTCTGTGGTAGGTGGTTCTGTTTGGGTATTTATTTTTCTGTTTTGAATTTTTTTCCTTTTTTTGTGTTTGTTTGTTTTGTTTAATTTTATGTTGTTTGGGTTTTAGTTGGTTTTCCCCCCGTTTTGTTTTTCCACTAGTGGAATTGCTTTTATAAGCACTTATCAGACAACTTTCTGTTTGCTTATTTGGAAATGTATATATAAGAAAAGCACACAGAACGATAACATATGCTGTATGTATATGTGTATGTATATGATATCATGGGTGTATTATACGTGCCTAAGTTCTATTTGGTTACAAATTTTTTACCTTAAAGTTAATAATAGCAATTTGGATTATTTCATGTAGTATTTCTATTTTTATTTTTAGTTCTTCCTGCTTGCATTCAATAAAGCACTAAACCTTGCAGTAGTGAGTTGAATTACAGTACATATATTGACTTAAGGATTATATTGATTTGACCACTTGAGAATTTTTCTGTTTGATTACAGATTGTAAATTTTTGAGTTTCAGCTCCTGGTGTTGATACTCCCTCTAGAGGGAGAGCTTGGAAAACACTTGGAAAAAGCTTGGTTACGAAAAACCTGCAAGGAATATTTACACTATTTTAGTATTATTATTATATATTATTATTATATTATTATATATATTACTAGAATTATATTATTAATATAGTAATATTATTATATTATTATATATATTAGTATAGTTATAAACACTTTCTTCTTCACCCAGTGGAAATAAGGGAGGTAACTGAGTACTCAGCAGATTACAAATATTTCAGATCAATACTTAAAAAGCAAGCAATAAAATTAAAATAAAGCTTTACTTTCAATCAGTGGTAATTAAAATCTAGAAATAAAGCGTGCCCTTGCCCCTGCCAGCACCACCACTTCCAGCAGTGTGATGCACATAGTGCCAGGTGACTAAAGCTGAAAGCAATTTTAATCTCCTGAATGGAAGAGGAGGGAGACAGGGCTGAGGAAAATCAAGAAATGGCCACAGCAGTACATGTCATCTCAACATTTTTTCTATATCCTTTAGTTCTCACGTGGCTCTGTGGTTTGAAAGAAAGGTCCCTGAGCCCTAAGTGCATTCAGAAGATTAACTTGGGATTGCTTGGCTCTAGGAGCTGCCTGTATTGATTAGACACCTACTGCTCTCTGAGTCTGGCCAGATACAGTGTGCACAGCTGGGCCTTTATGCATAACAAGGATTATGAAGTGTACAGATATCAGTAAGAGCAAATAAAAAAACGTGCTTCCCTTAGGGTTAACCTGAGAAGAGTGCTTTTCAGAATGTTAGGGCTGAATAAAATAAATTCATTAAATGTGTCAGAATAAAAATCACTCATAAGTAGAACTTTGTTTTCGCATATCTCTCTTCTTTGATATATTTGAGTGAAAAAGAAGCCAATAAATCCTTAATCTCATTTACTCATCCCTATTAGAAAATGGAGTATAGAGGAAAGATTTCTGTTCTCACAGCTATTTCTTAGAAAAGAAGGGGAGGATTTTGAGGAATGAGGTTAACTTATAGCAGAAGTAAATGCTATATAGCAATATTTGTGTCAGTCTAAAGTGTTTTGGTTTGTTTTACTGGTGGTTTTTTTGTTTGTTTGGGTTTTTTATGTAGTTGGTTTTTTTGTTGTTGTTGTTGCTTTTTTGGTTTGTTTTCTTTTTTTTTTAGGGGATGGGGTTTGTTAGTATATTGCTGACAAAGACATATTGACATGAAAATAGATTGTTATTTCTGATGGAAGATATTCTTTGTCTTTCTCAGAGTCATTTGCCTTGGATCCACAGTTTGAATCCAGGACTAGAAAAAATAAGTGCAATTGTATGGGAGGGTAATGACTGCAAGAAAGCAGATATGTCTGTACTTGAAATCAGTGGTATGATAATGAACAGAGTGAGTATTTGTTTTACTTTATGCAAATATTGTATTTAGGAGTGTAAGCACTACCAAGCTTGGTTTATGGTGTTTTGGTTTTTTTTTTTTGGTTGGTTGGTTGGTTTTTTTGGTGTTTTTTTGGTTGGTTAGTTGTGGGTTTTTTAATTTGTTTGTTTTGTTGTTCATATTATTAAGTCTCCTGTTATTCACATTGTTGTTCTATGGCTTACATCACACTGATTACTTGTTACTGCTAGATTAAAGAGCTACCAGATCTCCAGTGTTAGGACAATAAAAGGTGTTTGCATCGTTAAGTACTTGCTCACATAGCCAACCTCAGTTTTATTGATACATGTTGTGAATAATCAAGTTTATCTCCTTGATTTCAATGAACAAGTAATTTATTGGGCTAGGAATACACAGATCTGAGTATCTGGATGCTAAAGTTAGGATTGGAAAAGAAAGCTTTCCTCTTTAGGAAGCAAACCTCTAAGAGGATGAGTAGGATGTTGTCACTAGTCCTCCCTCCTGTTTCCTAGTACTCCTCTTGAGGAAACAGTTTGAAATGCATTTAACTGATGTGCTCTTTTTAAAATAGACAACATGAGTATTTTGTAGAGTTGCTCATAAAACCAAGCATAGCCAAAGAAAACTCTCACTAGTTCTGACAAGTTGATACTCACTCTCTCCCACTTGTTAAAAAGCAGCTTGTTCACAAACCTAGTTCTGTTCTCTTCCTGACTCAACGACTTTACACGTTTGGATGGAAGACACAGCAGAGACAAACTCAGCAAGCCATAGCCAGCAGAACAGAACTCCAGACCTGTCTGCACTGTGTACACTTCGATTCTACTAAAAAGGATACAACCTAAACCAAATAGAAATAGGAGCAACATACAGGATCTAAGCAGCCCAGTCTGATTGGCCCCCTTGGCTAATTCAGCATTCAGTGAATTTTTAATGCAGGAATATGCACTGGAGTTTAACTGCAGTGTTTTATTGTTGGGTTTTTAAATTACTTGGTTCCTGTGCATTAAGTGCTCTTTGAGGACTTCCTGTTTTTTAAATAATAAAATGGGATGATGATTGGTTGAAGTTTTCATACAATTTACCAGATTATAAAGTGTTGTTTGTGATAAAATAAAAATGTTAATATTTTGTTTATTGAATTAATGACAAAATCATTCAAAAATTAAATACATTCCTTGTTTTTTTTTGTTTTTAGGTGAACAGCCATATACCAGGAATTGGATATCAGATTTTTGGAAATATCATATCTTCAATCTTGGGTTTAATGCCCTTTGTCTTTCGACTTTTTCAAGCTAAAGATTTAGAACAACTGGCTGCACATTCTGCCACTGAGCTTTGCATGACTGCATTTGGATCAGATGGAGATGTTCTGGTTCTCTCAATGGTTATTATAAGTTTTGTGGTCCGGGTGTCTCTAGTGTGGATTTTCTTTTTTCTGCTCTGTGTAGCAGAGAGAACATATAAACAGGTATGAACAGCAAACCAAGACACTTATCTAAAGCAAACCAAGGTTTAATGTTTGTGTTTTTTGACTTTGTGGCTATTTTAAACTTGTTTTCTTCAGCTCGCTATGAGTCATAGATCAGTGATGACAAACACTTCAGTGGGCTTGCAGTTCACGAGATGACTCAGTTCCAGTAGACTGAAGTCTCTGAAGCTAAAAGGCTTTTTTTGTTGGTGTTTTATTTGTTTCCTGGAGAGAATTTCTGGGTGAAAACTGGCTCAATACATTAGCCCAATGCTTAGTCATGTCCCAGTTTGTTTCAGGTTTCCGCGAGGAGAAGTAGTTTCAGGAGAAGAGCTCTATACATTTCCAGTGTGTTTCATTCAGAACCTTCAATTTAATTCATATAATCATAGAATGGTTTGGGTTGGAAGGGACCTTTAAGATCATCCAGTGCCAACCCCTCTGCCATGTGCAGGGACACCTCCCATTAGACCAGCTTGCTCAGAGCCCCATCCAGCCCTGCCTTGGACACTTCCATCCCTGGCCAAGGCCCTGCCTGCTTTGCTGCTAGATCAGTTCTGTAGCTGGAGATGGTGAGAGCTGCTCTCTGAAGTACTACTGCATTGCTTGTTATTGCAATTGAAACTTCAGAGAGCAACCTTACTAGCTGCAGCACATAAATACTTACTGGTCTGCAAAAGAAACATTTTTATACTTTTTGTTCTCAAATTATAGTCAAAATATGTGATGTAATACAGTAGAATAGAATTAGCCTGCTTCTAATAATGATTTCTATTGAAAGGAACTTCTGTGCTATAGGTGCTCTCTAATGCAAATGATTGAAAGCTTTGGTTTATTTTTTACCAGATTTTAGGAACATAGCAGATCTGTTGTCTAAAATTTGAAGAAAGGAACAAGTGTAGCTAAATTTTGTTAATAATTAGAATGTGGGGAATTTTAAAATGTTTTCATGTATTTCCTTTCTTTAATAATATGCTGCACTTCTGGTTTATATTAGCATATTTTAATTTACACTAGTACGTTGTACTTTACATTGTACTTTGCCTTTATATTTAGTGAAGTCTTTTCTGTGATGTTTTTAGTACCTCTGAAAATCATTTAACAGCTAAAGTAATTTTTTTTCCTTCTCTGCAGAGGCTGCTTTTTGCTAAACTTTTTGGTCATCTAACATCTGCCAGAAGGGCAAGAAAATCGGAGGTACCTCACTTTCGCTTAAAGAAAGTACAGAATATAAAAATGTGGCTTTCTCTCAGGTCCTATCTAAAGGTAAAACAATGTATACTTTTGCTTTAATAAGATTTTAACACAATACATTTTAAACATCTTGTTTATGTTCTAACATAAAATATCTCCTATGCTGCTGATGGAGGGTTGGTGTTGTAGACTGTTTCCTACTGTACACTTACTATTGGTTCATATGTCCCAAACATACTTTGTGACTCTGGGCCTCCAGTGCCTGCAGGCAGACAGATTTTGAGAAAGCTAATGTGTGATATTCACCTTGTTTTAAAGCCTGAATGTGTTCAGAGTTGGAGTCTTGTCTTAGTAATGCCAGCTGAAAAGTTATGTTGGGTAAAAAGTGACCACATGTAGTCTAATACTGACAATTCTTATTTTGAGAGTCTCATTGATTGGTGTCATTAACACAAGGAATTTATAAAGCAAGACAGTTCTTGTGTATTTGTGCTGTGAGTGTATGGGTGCCAGGTGAAGCTAGAAATTATGCCCAAGTGTTATCTGTAAGACATTCTGATTTCTGAAATCTCTTATCACTGGTTTTTACAAGCAGAAAAAGATTAGTGAAAACATTAAGGAATTATGTTGTGGAGGCTGGAAAGCGTGGAAAGCAGGCTTTATAAGCAAAGAAAGTTTAATGTGGTGCTGGTGGGATGAAAGGAGGATAACATTGCTTAGATAATAAAATGTAGTTGAGGTGTTCTAAATTTCTGCATATGGTAGCACTGTTGTGGAATATCTTCCTTTCTTCCCTTGCAAACACACTTGTATATTCCACCTTTTCCTGTGCCACTGAGAACATTTGTGTAATAATATGGGTAACAAAAAAGTGGTCAGAGGCAGAGTGTAGGGAACTGACTGAACTGAGAAATCACCAGTGAAGAGCAGGTGATTCTAACCAGTTATGCTGAATACCAGTGCAGATTGGGTGGGTTCCACTCACGTGTGAATATCCTCTCTTCTCAGCGTCGAGGTCCTCAGCGCTCAGTGGATGTAATAGTTTCATCTGCCTTCCTACTGACTATCTCAGTTGTGTTTATCTGTTGTGCACAGGTGAGGAAACTTCAGTGTCAGGTTGGAAAGAAATCTCTTTCTTCTGAAGTTTCACACTGGTACAAAGCAACCCTTTCAGGGCAAGGTGAATAGGCAGTTCCAGAAACCCTCACAGGTTTCCTACAGAAAATGTGTTCAAGTAGGAGAATAAAATCTTCCACAGTGTGTGTTCCAAAGTCAGGATGTGAGGCTTGTGACAGATGATATAAATGACTCATTCTGCCTTTACTAAAGATAAGGTTGGATACTGAGAAGCCTGACTGCCCCTCTGCCTTGTCCTGAATGAGAGATTTTGCACCAGTCTGAACACTCTTGAGTTCCTGAGCCTGGAGAGTTTTTCATTGTTCTGTTGATCCTCAGAGCTGAATGTCCCAGTGATGTTTGTCTGCTGTTTCTGGAATGAAAATGGAGGGAAGTGTTTGGCGTAAGGATTGCAAAAAAATGCAAAGAGCAAGGGGAAAGAGATTGTCAAGCCTTTATTTTGCTTTCATAGGTTTCTATACTATGCTCTTCCTGGGTGTCAGTGTTTGAGCATTTTAATCTAGCATTGATATTGAAAGAAACACTTTCTGTATGTCCTCAGAACTTAAAGAAGTGTTATGTCATCAGAGACCTTTTCATTGAGTAGAGCTTATCCTGTTACGAGTCTTTTTCCTCAAAAATGCCTGAGAGCTTTATGAAATGAAAACCAAAATAGAATTCACAATTATTTCTCAGAAAACGAAAAGGATACCCTTCACCCTGGGTAGGACTCATTTTAGACTGGTTTCATTTGTTTAAGCTGGGTATTACAGCGTATTTACAGTGGTCTTGAGACAGACTCATGGAAGTCTTAACATATTGGCTTTTTGAGAAAGGTCAAGCCCTTTGAAATATTGACTGGCACTCACTTCATCTAAAAAAGCACATCTGATCCACTGTCCTGGAAAATGGCACACTGCAGTTATTAGGCTTAGTGAGAAGAGAACAAAGCTGAAAACAAAACAAACAGGAAAGTACAACAATAGCAAAAAAACCCCAAATGAGTCTCCACTCTCAGATGCAATTTAAATGCTCCACAGATAAGATGAAATTGAAAATTCTACTTTTGCCAGCAAAGTTCCAGGCACTTCTTTGTGCTTTATATTCAACCTATGAATTTCATGATTAGAAGTCACGATGGGAAACTAAAAGGGATTTTTTTGATTTTATGCTGTTTGGCTGTAATTTTTCAGGTCTTTCTGAAAGTGTTTTTAACTTGTCTTGTAATTCCATGAGCAAAATAGAATGTGTGGTCTGACCATAGTTGTCATTTTGCCAGTTTTGAATCTCAAAATAGTTGTGGTAGATGGCTGTGCAGACACACCCCTGATGGCAAGTTTGTTATTGAAATTAAGGAAATCATAATAGTTCTTAAAAGAGATCTTTGTATCTTCCTAGGGTTTTCAGAGTTGCTAATTAGACCCCTTATTTTTTGTTTAGTCCTGCTTGCAACTCTTGCATTGTGGAAATCAATAGTTTTATCTTTAAAAATTGGAATCTCTTTGGCTCTGAAAGCATAATTTTAATGTATAATGCAATAATAATAGTTCAGGAGCTTAATATGTCTTGGAATGTATTAGGCATAGATTTTGATTTTTAACCTGTGTAAGAAACTTACAGTGGTCTTTTTGAGGGAGATCTGATAATCAGTTACTTGTTTTAGATGTCTATGGCCCTTATTTCAATAACCACTATACAACGAGGTGGTGAAATATATCATAGCATGGTCAGGTAAGTAATCTGAAGGACTGCTTCAGCACATTTCTAAATTTTTCATTTATAATTTTGAAGGTTGTCACCCTAAAAGAAAGAGTTAGTGGCTTTTCAAGACATTTTTTGCTTTCATTTGCTTTTGTTATACAATAGAAAAGGAAAAAACCTAGCCTTTATTTGATCTGGGATTTCAAAGACAGGTTGTTTGAGAATGAAAGCTGATGTTTCAAAATTGCTGAAAGGACAAAAGAGAGCTAGTTTGAACTCTTTACTTTCTCAGAAAGAATGACCTAAAAACATCTGTATCACAGAAGTATTGAAATGTTCAATAAACTGTTCTCCTACAGCAATGAAGAGTTTAATAATTTTTGAAATATTTCAAGGCACTGGAAAGATGGATTTTTCTGCTCTCAAGGTGCTCATAAAGTACTAAATTACACTAGAATCTTCTAAAAGAAATTACACTTTACCAGAGTTATGGTTTAGCATTTCATTCTGTTCAATAACTTTTGAGGATGTTAAGTCTTGTAAGGTCTGCCCACTAGTATAAAAACCTTCTGGGGATGAATTGTCAAACCTCAGGTAACCCTTGAATGAGGAAAAAAATTATGCAAACCCTACCTATGTTGGTTTTTTTTTTTGTGCCTAATTTATACATCAGACTAAACTTTAAACTTGGTGCTATAATAATGTCAAATATAATTTGTAATATCGTAAATTAGCATTGTATTTTCCTATGGTGCTGAGCCAGTACTTGTTCTTGAATATTAAAAAAAGAAACAAAAAGCTTGCTTGCTTGCAGAAATTCATTGCAGTTTTGTCATATGGCTGCTGAGCAATCACATTGTTGAAATATTAAGTAGTTCACAATTGATTCCTTTAAATTCTGAGTAGGTGGCGATACTTGTGTTTTTGTTTTAAATCAGATAAACTTGTACTTGAAAATGGAGAAAAAGCCTAATAAGAAGGAGGAACTGACACTAGTGAACAATGTTTTAAAACTTGCTACTAAGTTATTGAAGGTAAGAATTAAATGGTATTCCCATATTATAAAAAAACTAGAATAGATGGGTTAAAGAGTCAACTGTGTGGCTTCTGCAGGCAGTAGGGTGTGCTTTGGTTTAAATTTGCCCTATATCTCTTCACAGGGATGCTGCTTGTTCATACACTGCAGTCTGTTATGTTGCCATCATTCTGGGCTGCAAATTATTATTACGTCCAGGAAGTTTTATTCTTTAGCTGTATGTTAGCAGTGTGAGAGAAGGCACTTCAGGGTGGTCAGGATGATGAATGCTTGGGAAATAAATGATGAAATTTTATTGTCTTTGAGTGTCAATACAGTGGTGGTTTAAGACCTTGTGACCTCACTCTACCACACACTGAATTTGGGTCCCTTAGGCTGTTGATTTCCATGTGCCAGGGAGCAGCCCTGAAAATGCAGTTAAAACTCTGTTTAATTTAGTCAGCTGAGATGAGAGTATTTCTTCTAGTTAGATGAGTAATTCCTCCCACCAGCACACCTTGAGGTGTGTGTTGGTCCCCTCCTCTCTAAAAAAAAAGGATACAGAGCACTTTCCATGAGAGGACTGATGGAGTCAGCAAGGACTCAGAGCTGACAAAGCAACTGCTTGAGAGTTGTGCTGCAGCAAGGAGGAGAGCCTGGCTAAATCAGTGACTATATCTCCTGGTGTCAGGAGAGTAAGGGAATAAGGGACTGCAAGGCTTTCAGGACCTGGCTGTGGAGCAAACAAAAGGAAGTATTCTCAGTGCATCAGGTGGTCAAGGTACTCTGTGGATACAGAAGGGTTGTCTGGATTCAAGGAGGGACTGGACAAGAACAAAGCCCAACAGGTTAAGGATATAATCTCATGAGTTGAAATGTTTGTGTGCTGTGAGAATGTGGGTAGGTTGGATGCTGATCAAATCTTGGTCTAAATTGCTTCTATTTTTTTCATGATCTCTCGGTGTTTCAAAAAAAGCTTTCATGTTTTCCTCTTGCCAAAAGTCACAACCTTTTCCAATAGAGAACTTAGCTTTTGTGGCACAAATCCCAGACCCAGGCCATCATTTAGTTACTGTGAGAAGATACCAAAAATGAGATTTCCAAGCCACCTACTCTGAGCTTTAAATAAATTCTTGGTAGTTAGTGATTTGTTCAATTGCATACTTCATGTCCAGTAGCTAAATGGGCTCAGGTTTTTTTTTAATTTGATTTTGGGTGGTTTTGGTCTTTAAGCTTTTATAAAGACTAGATTCTGTTGAATATTCTTACTATTTTCTTACTCACAAAATTGGTAAGATGAATCCAGAATCTAAAGCCTTTTTCCTTACAGAATTTCTCTGCTGTCCTTCTCAGAATCATGTCTTTTGTATCTTTTGTATTTGCAGCAGAATTTTATACAACATTACATCTAAATGAAAAGGTTGTTCATTGTTATTTCACATTTTTGAAAGAAGAAACATACCTTTGAAATTCTTCATTTTTAAGAAAGGGTTTATAAGGCCATTTTCGAGGCCTAGGATGTAATACAGGAGAGGGATGAAGATGAATTTAAAGCTAGGAAATATAAATGACCAAAACAGTGACAGTTGGTAGACTTTATATAATCCTCTCTTACATTTTAAAACTCCTTTTTTTTTTTTACTTTTTCTGACATATTTCTAGGCCAGAAAAGTTTGGGTGATTATATTCACACACCAATAATTGAAAATCCGTGAAATAGCTTCTTTGTTCAAGTTTTGTTGCAGATTAATTTGGGCTAATGTTTTGTTTCTTTCAATTAAAAAAGTAAAGTATTTGCAGTCTAATGATTGCTAGGATTTCTTTTCCATTACCACGCTTTTCTGGCTATATTGATCAGTTGTTAGTTTCAAAATTAATGGAAAAGGAAAGAAATTGCAATAGGAAACACATTTTTGTTAAATTTCATAGTTGTGAGGTAGTTTTTTGTCATTATGAAAAATCTTCCTTTTCTTATTTTTTGTGGTTCTGCTGCCTGTCAGTTCTTTTAACACTGACAGGTGATTTCTGAAAAAAATTGTAAGGAATTCAGAGATGGTGTCACCTAGCTCTTTATTTTCTTGAGCAGATTGGTAGGTACTGTACATGGGTAACCTCCAAGTTTTTGAAGAGTTATTTAGACAACAGCAATAAACAGTCAGTTACTGTAATGGATATTTTCCTGCACATTGTGTTTGATGTGCAGAATAATAGGAGAATGTTTTGCTCCACTGGGACTTAAAGACTTCCTAAAGTAATATTGCTCAATACGTATGTGAGCAAAACCCACTTTGTGTCTTTTTTGGTTTTTAATGATGCTGATGTTGTTTTGCCTTATTAGGAACTGGACAGTCCCTTTAGGTTATATGGGCTTACAATGAATCCACTGCTTTATAACATCACCCAAGTTGTCATCTTGTCAGCTGTTTCTGGTGTCATCAGTGACTTGCTTGGATTTAATCTAAAGGTAAATACCTGAGAAGCATCCTTTTTCTCACCATAGATGGAACACATATTGAAGCATAGTTGATTCTTAACCAGGCTAACTAGAAGATTTATTGTTTGAAAACTGTTACTGAATTATTCAATTAAATCTGTATCAGAGGAATAATGATCTATTTGTCAGAGCAGCCCTTAAAACTTTTTTTTTTCATTTTGTGGCTTTGTAATTTCATTTAGGACACTTAATTACAGGAATTCTTAGATATAAATACGGAGACATTTGTACACATAAGTACAAGACCTTCCTTAACTTTTCTTCATATCTCAAATTTGATTTCTGTCTTTATTCCTCACTGTTGACTCTGTAGCTCTTTAGGGGAGGCAGACAGAGCAGGCTCTCCTTGTCTTGCACTGCAGTGAAGTATTGCAGAAGGAATGGCATTGCTGTGACCAGTCCTAGAGTGTTAGTTTGTCATTGCTGTAGGGCTGTCCCCTTAGATCCTTCTCTCAGGCCCACCCTGAACTGCAAACTCTGGAAACTATTTAAAGATTCAGGTTTTGAGGCACAGGCTTGTAGTTGTCACAAAGTCCTTTATTGGCCATTAAGTTTGCTTACATCTGCTATCTTTTTTCTTGTTAGAAATAAAGGGATGTAAAATGTATTCTGTGTGTCATTAGAATATGTAGCAAATGCAGTAAGAAAAAATGTGGTGATATTGCAGTTCTGGTAAACAGAAATAATTTGAGAAATAAATTGATGTACTGCTCTGATTTTTCCAGCTCTGGAAGATCAAATCTTGACAGTATAGAAAGAAGATGAAATAACACAGTGTTACAGAAAAGGTCATTGATGGACAAAACTGCCTCACAGCAGCCACTGAAGCTGTATTTCAGAAGCTACAACCTCTTCAAGGAAGTAATTTGGAAAATGGAAGTGTTTACATCTGTCTTGTGCAATCTTTGTATTTATTTCATCTTCTCACTGGTTTATGTTAGTTTTAGTTGACATTTATGTTTTATTTTCAAATTACTTGCTTTGTTCTGGAAAGGGTCAAATTTAGGAAGGGTCAAAAACTGTGTGTCTGAGAGTTTGAAATCCTGAAATACGATCACACTAAATTGCTCTGTCTGTTGTTAAAGCTAAGCCAATGCTGAACATTTTTAGTTACCAGTAACACTATATGGAAGTCATTTGATTTTTGATAGTGTGGTAAAATTGCTTAGAATATTTAATTTGCACCAGTCATTTATGAAGACAATGTCAATAGATGTTTGGTTGCAATAGAAAAGTGAGACGTACTCAAAAAATAAAGTACTGACAATACAGTATGACAGGTAGCAAAAATGTTTTATAATACTATTAGAAATAATTTCTAATATTTTGAGTAATTCCAGGATCTAAACTCATACAGGCTGCAGTTTAAATATCCTGGGATATTAAAAAGGTATTATATAAGAAGTCAACAAGTGTTCTTTGATAACACATTTATTAGAGCAATAATTGTAAATGGTTACCATGCTGTATGATATTTTGATAAAAATTAAATATTGTATTTATTTGAAATACTGGGCTGTTCTTCGCAGCTCTGACTGTGCATGTGCACTTTTTATTGTTACTTTTAATGAGAAACTTTATACATATAAATGTATATTAATTGGGATATATTATGGTGAACTATGGAGCAGTATGTATTATATGTTGAAGTTGAATATTTAAACAGGCAAATTATTTACTGGTGAAAGGAATGCTTTGAATAACTGAGCAAAAGATAGATAGATAGATGCTCTCCTCTTGTACACTATAGTATATGCCATTCATACCACATTGAAGTTTAAGAACAATTAAATACAAAGAACAAGTTGCTCTGGTGAGCAGCAGAGCTGCAGAGCCTGGGATTTGGCAGGTTTGTGTCTTGAAATAACTCCCATTCCTCCCCAGCAGGTGTCATTCCCATGTGCTTTCTGCTGGGGTTTCTAACACCTCTCCCTCTGCCTCCCACAAGGACCAGTCATATTGACTCGTGGTTCTTCAGTGTGACAAAAATAATGTGTCCATCCCTGTGAAATTAAGTGAGTTGTAACAAACTTTCCTTCTACAAATTATTCTGGGAGGATTAATAATACCACGAGGCACAAGTATTCTTATATTTTCTGTTTCTAAAATACTGGCTTCATACGGAAAAATGACAAGTAATTGTTTGTTAATGTTCAGAATCTTGCAAGATTGGAAGTATTGAGTCTTAAACTTATGTGGTATAAAAATATTTTTATATATAAAGCAACACAAACAAGCATTTTGTATTTTATTTGCCTCTGTACTAATGTTTAATAATGACCAAAGTGCATTCTGGTTTTTGGAAGAATGTATTACTGGAGCTTTAAGAACATACTATATTTAGTTTCTCATGTGAAAACTTCAGCTGCCTCTGATCTGTTTCTCCTTTCTCTGTTGTTTGACGTTGGGATTGTTTTTAAAAATTAAGTACATTTTATACACAGTTTTTTCCAAATTATGGTACAGACCTACACAGAACTTAATTTTGCACAAAATATCTAAAAAAAAAAAAAAAAAAAAAAAAAGAACAGCAGGAGTTCTATGGGTGATAAAAGATAAGGCTGTTGCTTTTTACAGCCTGTCATTAACACCAAGAAGAAAAGAAGAAAACCATTCTTTAGTCTAGAGTGGAATTATTTTTAGAAATGTGAAATAGTGACTATATGGCTTTCATTACTTTAAAAAAAAAGGGTGAGGGAAACACAGCAATTTGGGTTGAAGGTGGAATTAGTTTAACCACGTATACCTCAGCAACTAGCACTGTGCGGTTTGTTGCACTAACAAATGGCGGCTTGGGGAAAGTAAAACATTTGTGAAATGAAATTAAAAATAATAAAAACCTTTATTTGCTACCCTTAGGTATATTCATTATGTTAAAAATGAGAGAGGTTTATTCTCCATTCCTCAATGTGGAAAGTCCAGTATAAGAATAGAGGCAAGTAGAAATATGGCAGATCTTGCATTGTTAACTGTTATTTTTTTGCCACGTGTTTTGTAACTGAAAGTGTGATCAGGCTTGGAATAAAGCTTTCTATGGCTGATGGTAAAAAAAGAAAAAAAAAAGCAGTGAGCTGTGTCTTTAGTAATGTCCAGCATGTTTCTGCCTGTTTTGATTTAAATTCATATATTCTGTTTAAATTAAAGCACACTTGGGAAAGAAACCTGAACAGAATGCAAATGATACAGAATATCATGTAGAACAACCCAAGTTAAAGTACAGGTGAAATGCAAAAAGGTACTTTAATAATTTGATTAGTTTTCCGTATTATCTTCTAGGAATGGGACATTTAAAACCCTTTGGGTAGCTACCAAATTTAGTAGCTTCCGAATCTTCTCTGGATTGCAAGCTTATTTCATTCCAGGTAACACTTAAGGATATTACTGGCTCAGATTTCTTTGGCACCCAGCAGCAAACAGTAGAGAGAGTTATCTTTTTTTAAAGGTGGTGGTAGTGAGCTGCTGCTCTTGTCTTTGCTGGGTACTTCAAACCCAAGGCATCCAAGGTGTCTGTTGGGGGAAGAGGAGGAGAAAGGTTGTTGGTGTTGTTGATCTGCCCACTGCTGCTTCCTTAGGTAGACTTTTGCTAGGAGTTTCTCAGTAGTGAATTTCCCTCAGTAGGAATGTAAAAGACTTTGAAGGAGGAATGCCTGTTTGTTTCAGTCCATGAAGCAATGAGGTTTTTATTGCATGACTGCACAAAATCTGTCTGTATTGGTGCAGGAGCTGGGGCAGGAAATCCTTTAGTAATAAATAGCAGCTGACAAAGTCATCTTTTCCAATGGGAAAAGCAGTCATCTTTTCCAATGTAATTCTTGCAAGACAGCAGAGGAACTCATCTTGAGAAGGTGCCCGTGTTGTTTGTTTGTTTGTTTGTTAAAAAACCTCCACAACAGTCTTCACACAGTTCACCACTTTACTGTGGCTTTCCTCCTGAATACTGCCTTTGTACCTCATCAGTCTTAGGAAAAGTAGTCACTCTCAGCTGGGTTGTTGGGATCCTGCTTTGCTGCCACTTCCTTTTCCTGAAAATCGCCATCATCTAGTCATTGGTGATGGACAGAGCCTGCAAATGTCCTTTAAGTCCCTGTATGGGGGTGTTCAGACAGAAGGTGATCTTGGCAATTCTGCTGGGCCTCGGGGAGTGTCTGACCTCAAACAAGCAGGAGATGATACCTGCATTGCCAGTGTTCCTGACTGGGCTGATAGAGGTGTTTGTGGAATACCTGTCAGCTCTGCTCCTTTGCCTGTTGCCTTCCTGACTGAGCAAATAGACCCACTGGTGGCAGCAGCCAGGCAGCTGTCTCGGGAAGGGGGAAATGTCCAAGGCTGCTGTGGATAGTTTGTGAGAAGGATAACTCAGGAAAGAAAGGGAGTGTGATACCTCAGATACCTGGAACTGATGATCCACTTCTGTTGGCAGTTCTGCTGTCAGAGTTAGATATCTGCACTGTGAAATATAACCCCTGAGCCCAGCATTGCCTGGGGCTTGGTAGAGTTAAGATTTCCTCCTTTCTGTCTCAAGCAGTCAATCAAGGGACACCAAGGTCTTCCCCACAGTGTGTTGCTACTTCTCCTGATTAGGACTGGGACAGGACAGAACTTGTAATGGATAGTTTAGGGACAATAACAGAAATCAGAGGAGGCTGCAGCTGTAAGTCTTGTCACTTGTTACTTGGTCTTGCTGTGCATGGTCATATTGCAGGCTGAAGGCTTTGTCAGCCTGTGGCTGTAGAACACTGCAGCTTGCCCAAATCGTCTTGGGGAGGCTAAAGCATGTGGAGAGGTTGGTTCTAAATGTAGAGAATCCCCATGCCCTGCCTCTCAAAGCTGATCAGCTGCTGCCACCAGGTGTCTGTCCTCTTTGGTCATTTTGATCCTCAAATGCTACACCCTGTGCAGTTTAATACGCATGGGCAGCCAGTATTGAGGATGCTGTATTGCTCAGTGTGAGGTGTTTGGTACAGGGGAGGTTCATGTGAAGGAGAATTTGCCAGACTGCTGTACCAGGAGTTGGATCTGCTTCTCCAGCCCAGGAAGCAGTGCCTTGCAGCAGGCTCTGCTTGGGGCTGCTTTTGGAGCACGTGGCTACTGCCACAGCAGCCAGGAGTCTTGGGCAGCTGGGCAGCACTCCAGCTGGTGCTATGTCACATTTAAGGCGAGTTGGGCTTGCTGGCAAAGAGGTCTCAGCAGATTTTGTTTTAGTGCTGCCATGCCAAAGACACACTGGAGTTTTAACTATAAGCAGGTATGTAAGACCTTGGGTTTTAATTGGATGTTAATGCAGAAGCTCAGGTCAGGTTGTAAGTCCCATCTTGGTTTCATCAGGGAAAGTTTTAAGTGTGGCTATAGGAATAAATGGGAAAGGGGAATGAAACCCGTCTGGTTGGTGCCATCTGGATTGTCTTTCAAGCTGCCTTTTGAGAGCTTCCCCCAGGTACCTTTGGTGCATGAAGGTCCATATGGAATGTCTGAATTATGCAAGTGTAAAATATCTGTAGAGCATTACTTCAAATTAGTTGGTTTAGATTAAGCACTGGAGAGTCACTATGTACCTCAATATCTTATAAATAACTTTCCAAAAGTGTTATTAAATAAGATAAAATATTTTCTTAAAGTTTATATTTTTACCTATTTCCTCCTTATTTCTTCCCACTCTTTAATCATTTTACACTTGAGTGGACACTTTGCCATCCAAACAAACTTTCAGAAATCTGAAGTTGCTGCGGATTTGGTTTTGTGATAAGAAGTCAATTCTCTGGGCTGTGAGCAATGCCGTGTCTCCTGCTGTCAGTAACAGAATTCTCTGGAGAGAGAAATCAAGAGAGATTTCCTTTCTGGCTCTTCAGAGATGAAGCTGCAGCATTCAGTATGGACACAAGCACCTCTGCTAAAATAAAGAGCACTGATGGCTGGTCAGATTCAATTCTTCCAATACAAGCTTGTATAAGTTCACGATCCAGAGTAGGAAATGAGGTCATGCTGCAGAAAGGTTTGTCCATTTTATTTATTTTTTCCCCTGTGTTTGATTAATCATTTCAAGGAAAGGAAAGTACATTCACTTTAGGGACAAGCTCCCAAAAATATTCAATTTCTAGCTATTTAATTTATTACTTCAGTCTTTTGTTTAATAATGACACAATACTTTATGTTTAGGCATGCTTGCATTCCTGAACACCCACCAACTTTTCACTTCTAGCCCTCATAAATAGCTCCTGCTTTTTGAGCATGGCCTTATTGGTAATGAAATTTGTCAGGAATTAGCTGGCTGCCTTCTGCCCATATCACAGTCCAAGCCTGAGTCTCTGGGTATGTGATTATGCATCAAATGAAATCTTTTGCTTTTGCTCTGTCTCATGCATGTAAATAAATGGGAAGTGAATTACTTGACTAATTGAAAATCACAGTTAAACAAATGGAACCTAAGTGGAAATTGTCACTAAACCAGTGAGCTTTGGTGAAATAGTTGTTTGGAGCATTCCATTATTTCATAAACCATCTCTACAGTAGTGCTGATTGGGGTCATAGACAACCAGCCTAGGGATAAAGGTTTGACCTCGATGAAAAGCCACTTTCCAACAGCTCTGCATGCTCTGTTTACTGTACCCAGGGCTGTGGTCTTCTGCTGTGTGTGGGGTTCTTTGTCCTAAGATGTCTGCATTTTAGATGCCAAACTGACCCAGGGCTTCCTTGGCAATCGTTAAAAAGTCACATTTACCTTTAGAGGGGAATTCATTCAGTTGATCTTTGACCTTCATTTTAGTGATCCTCTGGGATGTTTCTCTCTTGAATAGAAGGAAAAGAAGTTGTGTGGGTAATTTAGAATCAGATGCAAAACTTCCAGCCACTTAAATTAGGGCAGATAATCCAACTTTACTGTTTTGTTATGCAGTGAAACTTTACAGTGTTTGCAGCTGCGTGATTAGTTCGACTGCTATTGGAAAGGAAGACATTTGTTTTCTTCTTTTTTAATTTTACTGTTTTCTCACAGAAGAGGTTTCCAAACAAGTATTCCGTAGTCCTGCCCCAGCACTCAGATCTCTCCCTGTGCTGTGGAATGGCAGCTGGTGAGCTGCCCACATCTGTACAGCTGCAGCCTGCAGGCAGCACTGTGCAGGCACAGCAGCAGCACCCAAAACAGGCACAGCCTGTACCAGGGTGACACACAGGTGTACCTGGAGACATCTGTGTCTTTATTCCTAAAATGAGTAACTTGAAGGATGGGTATGATGGGCTGTGGCCTTGACCTCACACACAGGGAAACGCTGTTCCTGTTTTGGCAGAGTTGCAGGGGTTTTGCTTTCGTTCTTTGCCTGTTACACTGGAAATCCCTTGTGGCCACGCTGCTGCCAGGTGTAAAGGTGTGATGCCATTGAGGTGTAAAACCCATCTAGAAGCAGAGAGCCCTCCCTGCTTGGCCATGATCTCTGAGCAGAACAGATCTCCCTGTGATGTGTGCCCTCCCAGCAGCTGGAATCAAGGGCACTCTGCTCAGAGGGAGTAGGGCTGACAGAGACAAGGCTTTGCCATATGTCTCCCCTGTTATCTTCAGGCTGTAGATGTGCAGCCGAGTCAAAGATACTCCTCAAAGGCCTTTGCTGGCTGGCCTGAAAGTGTTTGCAGGGTGGATAAAAATAGCAAAAAAGTCTCTGTCTTGCAGTGGAGAGAACCACTGTTATTTTACCCTGTCCTTCAGCAAGGTGTTCTGGTTCCAGTCTTTTGTAAACCCGTGCTGAGTTAGACTCCTGCTAAGTGTATTTGATGAGTTATTTATTCATCCAGCCTATGTGGATGACAGGAATAACTTACAATGACCCTCGGAGGCTGATGCTGGAAACAGGCCATTGCCCCTGACTTGTGCTGTCATCGTGCAGGCAAACACAGGAGGAAGAGCAAAGTACTGTATTTAACCTGCATTTCTCACCTCTCCTTCGTGCATCCCCTTTTGAAGCAATAGCTCTTGAGAGCAGATAAACTGCACTGAATATAATGAGGTGAGTCTGTCTACAAATGTGAATATTGCCGAGCTTTTGACTTCTGTGCTGTCCAGGGGTCTGACTCGTCACAGCTGTTTTTTGCCCGTGCT